TAGGATTAATCCGTTCCAGGCCCCCAAATACAACCACTTAACACTGAAAAATATAATATAAAATTATAAAAATTGTAAAAAAGTGCATAAATATGCATCTAAACCCCTGAAATAAAGAATATCATTAATATTTGTAATAAAAAAACAATAAAATAGAAAAAAAAAAAAAAAATAAATAAAATATTTAAGTAATGTTCGTTGTAGGAGTTTCGTTCGTTATAGCATTCTCAATTTTACAGGTAAAACCGTTCGTTATAGGAATATTCGTAGTAGGATCCGTTCGTTATAGCATACCCCACTGTATTAACTGTGAATATAGTAAAGAAGAATATCAACAAGAAGCGTTCTGGTGATAGAATTCCCGGTGATGATCGTAAAAGAAAGGATATAACACTTGAAAAGAAGCTCGATTTTATCAACCTCAAAATCACCCTTCTCCCCCATCAAGTAGTGTTACATTTACTGTATGATTTCATTATTAGATATGAATGTAACATTTATTTAGACTGTGCTATCCTTTGTGTTAGGCTAACTACTAAATTTTTTCGATTTCGAGTAATCTGCACCTAACCCTATTTTCTCCATAAGCCCTGTTATTTCTATTACGCGATTTTCTATAACACGATATTTTACAAGAACACAATTATCACGTTATAGCAGAACTACCTGTATGTAGAAGGCTCCTGGATGATGATGATGGGAATTAGAATGGGGGAGGAGGAGAAGGAAGAAGAGAAGGCATTGGGGTGGAAGAGAAGTCACCCCATGGCACCATTTCACCCATAAAATTTTAGTTCTCTTGGTGTATTTCAAGATTATTTTCTTTAAATCAACACTGCACTGCATTATATATTGTCAATATGTAAAATATATTTCAAAATGACCAATAATTTGCTTGGAAACACAGAAAAAAGCGTTTAGTTGAAGAGAGTCTCAAGCAAGATGTTACCTCCAGTGAAAACAGAGAGAGACTAACGCCTGTTTGCTGTGTTAAGAGGCTGGATGCCGCATTAAACTAGTCACTTTACCTTCAATTATGTTCAATAATTGTTAAAATGACTAAAAAATTGAATATTAAACTTTTAAAATTATTGAATAGTATAAACTTCTTGATATTTACTAAAATAGTAAGGAATTTAAGCCCTAGAACCAATTAATGTATTGGCGGACTGATACTAAAGCTGGTTGCCCGGTCAGTGCAAGCGAAAACATATTGAGGTCGATTCGTAAGAACTTCGTTAACCGAATTTTTGTTCGTTAACCGAATTGAAGATCCTTATGGAAGGCAGTTCGTTAAACGAGGGGTCACTGTACATTAATGAAAATTAGAAATAGTAATAGATTTATAAATTGCACAAAGTTGGATGGTCCATCATCATTTTTATTTGTTGTTTTTCATAAATACTGTATACATACATATACAGTATAACCCCACTTTACGCGGTCAATTGAACCCACGGAGGCCCGCGTAAAACGAGAAACGCGTAAATGGAACAACAGAACATATGGGATTAATTGAAATAGAGACTGAGCCGACCCCCAAATTCCACTTTTTCAGACACAATACCTACGTTGTAGTAAAAATAACTTCTTAATTTTATGATGGTATGCACACACAATTAATAATTAAGAGAAATATCAATAATATTAGGTTTTTTAACACCTACATTAGTAGAAAAGATGGCTGGGCACACGGGGATGGGGGGTTGGTTCCGAGGCAGAGGGCAGATTATTGGCCCTCACCTATATCACTTGTATCAATTGTATCACTATCCACCACAGAGGCTTGCAGGGCCTCTTTGTCAAACCCCTCAAAGTCCATATCCTCATTATCACTGACTTGGGCCGGCTGTGGTGGGTGGCGGGTGAAGAACTCGATAATGTTTTGATGACTGGGCGACATTGTGGGCACCCTGCTCGCGCCACTTACCGCATATATTCGTAGATGCACCGCATAAGGTGGGAATTCCGGTTCTGGCGGGGTACTGCGTAAATGTTTTAACGCGTTAACGAGAACCACGTAAACCGGGGTATTACTGTATTAAAAAAAACTCCCTGAAAATCTCTAGATTTTATACTCATTAATGAGTCATCCATTATGCCACAAGTTGATTTGTGTTTCATGAACTATACACATATGTGTAGTGGTCTCTTAGTGAGGGCGGGTGCACTCGGTATCTCAGAATACAATATGGACAGGACTGATTCTTGTCAGCTTCCAGTTGCCATTTAGGGATTTTTCCAAAGCAATTATCCATTAGTATTTAAGAACATAAGAATATAAGAATGGAGGAAACTGCAGCGGGCCTATTGGCCCATACCGGGCAGTCCCATTTAAACCCAACCCCTATCGCTCGTGTTTGAAGCTATCCAGTATATTCGAGTTATTGATGATGTTTGGTAACATGTTCCACTCATCCACTACTCTATTTCCAAACCAATGTTTACCTATTTCAAGCCTAAATTTTTCTAATATAAAACCATTGTTACGAGTTCGCTCCTGCTTGGATAGTTTGGGATGAAGTGAGTGGGTATTAGGGCTTATTGTACTGATTTATGTGTACATTAAAGTCTAGACGAACGATGGTTGTAGATGTTGTTACAATATGCTATTGTAATGTGCTACATTATTATAAAGTGAATGTTGAAAGATGTATACTGTGTAAATTTTTTAAAGATGCTACGCCACAGTGTATGTTTTGCTTACTGACCGCTAGAGGGCGGGCTACAATTAATAACAATAAACCTGGAGCCTCGTGCATCGTCTCTCCCTCAAAACCTCCACAATAAACTAGTGCAGTTTTCATGATCGTGATGACGGCTAACCTGAAAACCTTAAGGATTCATATTACGCTCAAACGTCCACAAAACCCTCTGAGTCCCCCAGTGGAAACGTCCCCCGTTTTCTCTGTTTCCCCGTCTTTGTTTAGTGGGAACTTTGAATATAATCCACGGATTTAGTAGCAGACGCTGTATGTTGGGACCTGTTGCCATCCAACCCTTTGTAATCAATTTAATTTTGCTTTTGATAGCTGAGTCAGAGCATTGTTAGTGAAGATAATAGTAGGAAATGAAAATGAGTTCATAGTCTCAATTTCAACGTCAGAGTGTACAGTGAATTAATTCATCGGAATAGAAGTAGGTGGACTCCCTGGTCTGTTTTGAGTGAGGGCCCCGCGGGCATTTCTACCGTTAGTGAGTGCCCGTCCCTTCATCCATACAGGTATGCCATTCCACTCTGTGTTGTAATTCGTCCTTCTTTAAGTGATTTGACCCAATTAATAGTTGATTGTGCAAGTGTTACAGTAACGTAGTTGATATGCTCTGAGTGAAGTCATATTTACGTCTTTAACGTCCCCTGAAACGTGATGTTGTTGTCACTGTTAGGTAGTGCCGGTCCCTTCATCCATACAGATCCCAGGGTGATTCTTGAATCGCTCTACCATCCAACAACGGCCTCGGATGTATTAGATGTCCAGCCGGGATCATATATGAGAAGATGGCACCGATGCGGCCTGATTACTGTGCCCCACGGCTTCGTTGGGCCAGACCCCAGACCCGCCATGTGTCTGGCTACCCCACAATAACAACAGCCGCAGTGCTCTACCCTGGGTCACTCCTTGGAAGTATATGTCCACAGAGAGTGTTGTAACATGTATGTTAGGGATAATTAGTTGGAAATAATTATCCCATGTTGGGTAGTGGACCCCTGCATATACTAGTGTCATTGTTTACATATATGTTGAATAATCTACAATGAGTGCCATGTAATGTACCACCAGTAATGTTATGAGTAAGAGTAAAGAAGAAGGTACTGAGTTTGCACTAAGCCCAGGAGGTGAACCTGGTAATCATATGATTAATACAAAATCTTTTCCCATTGATTGCATATTAATAAACTTGTTTTTAGAGTAATTAAGGTGTATTCATTTCTCCCACAGTATTTTACCTTTGTTTCCATCCAAGTGACCTGATACCAAAATTACCATACTCACGTGCCTAGACCCTCGACCATACTACCAAAAGAATGACCATGCTACCAAAGGAATGTCCATGCTACCCAAGCATAGGTGACGGAACTGAGTAAGAGTAAGAACTAAGAGAAGTAATAAGATGAGGGTGGTGTAGAAACAGAGAGGGAACCGACCCCCTCACATTGGTGGCAGACCAAGAATCCGCCCCCTCACATTGGTGGCAGCCCAAGAACCCGCCCCCTCACATTGGTGGCAGCCCAAGAAACCGCCCCCTCACATTGGTGGCAAGACCAAGAATCCGGCCCCCTCACACAGTAGTCTTAAATATGAATCGTCGTTAGTAGAACCATCGTTATCGGAGGCTTTCCTGTATAAAAAAATTAAAATTGCTATGATGAACAAAAAAAATTATACATAGCATATCATAAAATACAATAACAATTACTGTATTATAATGTAAACAAAAATGGCTTTTTCCATGCTCAAACCATCCTCTGAACAATGTGACATAGTTCAGCCGGGCAGTCACACAGCTGTCTCAGATGTGTGGCTAATGCTGCGCTGTAGGTATACCATGACATCATATTGGGGGAAGGAGTCAGGGAGCATGGCTGAGCTCGTGATGCAGTTACTGCCCAGTGTCTCCACACGGACGCATGCACACGCTCTTCATTTTTTATTTTATAGTTTTATGTTATATTTTCATAATTTCTAAGCTACATTAGAGTATTGTAATGATTTTTCCACTACTTTTTTAGTTTCATTACATGTAACAGTGGCGTGGATAAGTGATAAACACGGTAATCGAAAATGCTCATGAAAATGCACTGATTTGAGGAAAACTGTCTTCTGAGACATGAATTTGCAAGGCCAGTCTATTGTGCTAAGCTATAAGTATACACCAAAATGAAGGAGCTAGAATTAAATACAGTATAGGTAAACCATAAACCATACCAAATTATTTCCAGAACAAAGCATTCTAAAGGATCTTATCAAATGAAACAGACAATAAAAAATGGTACAAACCAGTGAAAAAAGTGCAGAGGTAAGAGAGTCAAGTTCATTGCCGCCTTTAGTGAGAACGAGAATCTTATTCTTCAATACTTCTGGCAACTTCTCAAGTATTAAGCGAAGTACTACCCAGTCTGATAAATGCATACATATCGTTAATTTTTTATTTATTTATTATTATAATATAGTACAGTACAGAACCAGTATCCTAAGTCAAAAACAATGACTGAATATGTAGAGTATCTCGAAAAGTATCTGCCAGGATGGGTCTGATGACTTCCGAAATGCTACATGCAATTTGTGATGTACCAGGAAGGGTGGTATGAGTGGCTCCGTGGTATACTGATCCTACTGCATTTAGTAACCAAACATATTAATTACGCCTAAATAAATACATATTGCATTACTTACATTAGACCAATGTCTATACCAAAGTAAAATCATGTCCCAATATCTATCATCTGTGGTCTCAATGTTTCACACAGTGTGGACAGACACTTTTTCAAGATACTGTACAGAAAGATCTTGTATTTCGCGAGTAATATAGGCTGGAAAAATTGCGCCAAATTCAAATTCACCAAATGCAAATATATAATTTAATGGAAAAAAAACATTTTTTTTCTAAAAAATACAGTTTTTGTGATTAGTCCAGAATACGAAGTCTAGCTTCATACCTACATATGTAAATGCCTAGCATTAACTCGCTAAGCCAACATACAGGCAATTAAAATATCTAATAATTACAGTGGTCCCTTGGTTAACGAACTCAATTCGTTCGAGAGGGTCATTCGTTAACCGAAACCATTGTTTCAATGGGATATTGGGTAATTGGTTCCAGCTCACAGAAAAGTATACACAAAGTAAAGCCAAAAATGCATAGTCAGAAACACTCCTAAAATTCCCCTAAATTGCCCTTAAATCACGATATATATCGTACATATACACTAGAACTCTTAAATCACTACTGTAATGTGATACAGGTGATTAATTTTATCTCTTGTGCAAAATATATGATGTTTACATTCAAATTATTCGCTGTCTTGCAACGATTCCAGCAATGCAAATTGTATTCTCCTAACTTTAGTCTGAGATATTATATAAGATAAACACTTAAAGCCTAATGAAAACATGAAACTTTTGTCTGGGAAGGCAGGGGTGGGTAGGGAGGGAACGAGTGAGCTTGGGAATTGGGGGGAGCAGGAGGTGAGGTGTATTTTGATTGATAGATAGTGTCTGGTGAAGTATAATTTGTTTATTTACTCGAGTTTTTATTTTTAGCTCATAAAATTCATAGAAATTACCCGGCCAGAATATAATTTACATTGCTGGAATTCTTATAATATAGTGATTAATTTGAATATAAACAAGCTAAAATTTGCATTTGACATACAAATTTTAGATCTAATTTAAGAATTTTTTGGGAGGGAGCAAAAATTTTATCTTTTGCGCAAAATATATGACGTTTATATTCAAATTATTCGCTGTCTTGCAACGATTCCAGCAATACCAATTATATTCTCCTAATTTTAGTCTGAGACATTATATATGATTAAACCTGTAAGCCTAGTGCTTTTCCCCAAACATTTCTCGGGAAGGTGGGGGGTAGGGAGGGAGGGGTGACAGTCACATGTTTGACAGTTGGCGCCTGTGGTGTGAATTATTTAATTGTTAATTTATGTCCTTTAGATTGAGTTTTTGTTTTTTGCTTTTAAACTTAATAGAAGTGACCGGGGTGAATTTAATTTGCATTGCGGGAATTCTTATAAGATAGTGATTAATTTGAATGTAAACATGAATAAAGTTACATATACGAGCCAAAAATACCCGGTAGTTGAAAAACTTTATGTAGACAGAGCTTGGATGGCTAAATTTTAGAGTAACCAATAATTTTAATACTGTATGAAAAAATGCACAAATATTAGAGAGCACAATTTTCTTGATATTTACTCCAGTGGAAACGAATATAAACACAGAAAAGATTACTGAATTGGCCGAGTACCTCCTCAGCTTATGTTCAAAACAGAACGTGATTTTCGTAAGGATTTCGTCAATCAATTTTTTTTTCATGAACCGAATTGAAGATTCTTATGGAAGGTAATTCGTTAACCGAAATTTCGTTAACCGAGGGACCACTGTACTTAAATACGTAATATTAGGAGGACATGTCGCTACCTGGCATTTAATTGCAATTCTCAAAACCCCCTCTATCACACGCATTGCTACCGTCAACTCTTGCCCTAGAGTGAGCAGTAAACAAAAGTCAACTCTCAAGGGGTGGAGATGGGTGGGATGTCGATGTCGCATTATGGACTATATCACAAAACTGTTTTTTTAGAAAAAAAAGTGGCTTTTTGTTCAATCCAGAATGCGATGTCTAGCTTTGATTACCCAAGCAGGAGGTGGAGAGGGAGGTGACATTGCGTATAAGGCTCCACTAGCTTAGGTCCAGATTATAATTATAAACTTTATGGAATATTTTCTAATATTAAGAACATTTACCAGAAGGTAAAAATGTTAATTTACATATCCCAATTAGGATACTCACTTTATTCTGATGAGGAAGAAGAAGGTCCTGGTTGTGGAGACAGTACCACCACATGTGAAGCTTCTTTCAGAGACAGATGAAGATAGCTGTTTTGAAAGGTTTTTGAAGATTTCCAAAAGCCCACTTCTTTGAGTTGACTGAGGCTCATATGCCGCAGAAAGACCACAGACCCTGCATATTTCCTGGTGTCATGTGCCAAAATTTTTTTGCCAGGGTCTGCTTGACTCACTAGCTGAGAAAAATATTTTGTCATTTGACTAGGAGACAATTTCTTACCATCCTGAGATGAGAAAACATAGGGGCCTCGATTAGGGAATCTGGTTAACCATTCTTGAAGAATCTTAACTGGGCACAATATATGAGGAACCCTTGTCTCATCCATTAGCAGTTTTATCCTGATAGGTCGAGCTTGAAAATCCTCCCTTTCATTTTTTCTTGGAATCTCCGTAGGAAAACGGCGACATCTTCCTCAGAAAATACCAATAATTGGAAATTAAAATCAGCTCACCTGTTGCTATTGCTAGAAGGAAGGCTGCCTTCAGGAGCAATCTGTCCCGGTTCAGATTTATATTGTAATTAGGCCTCATAAGAAATTTAGTAACTTTATCTAGGCACCAAGGTGAGATTCTCTTAGGTCGAGGGGGTCTCTGAATGAAAAAGTGCGATCTGAGAATTTGATAAATTATTGGGTTCAAAGTAATATTAAAACCCCATGACAGAGGGTCAACCAATGCTGATTTATAAGATGCAATTATAGATCCTTGAAGGCCTTTAACTCTGAACAGAAAATCTAAAAATTCTAACACCACTGTTTCCAACAATGTGATTGGAGTCGTTAACCTGATAAATTATTGAAAAAGTTTCCAAGCTTTCTCATATTACATAGAAGTTTGGGGTCTATGACCTGCTATCACTTGGTAAACTATATTGGAATTACCCAACAATCTATTTAAACATCTTTCGAAAAACTCTAAGCGTGAATTGCCAAACATATCTCAAACTGAGGGTGCAGTAGCTGGTCTAGACATCCTTGTTGCAGTTATAGTGGATGCGGGCACCATTCCAACAGATCCAGACACCACGGATGTAGGATCCAATATGGTGCAATTAAGAGGACCTTTCCCTGGAAAGATCTGAGTTTGTGAACCACTTTGGGCAACATTTTCACAGGTGGGAACAGATAGATTAAAATCTAACGGTTCGAATCTTTGAGTAGAGCATTTCCTAAAAGATTTGATTGCTCCAGAGATGCATAAGTTGGCATCTTGGGGGGTTTTTTGTGAGGCAAAGAGATCTATTTGTGGAGTCCCAAACCTCCTCACTAGACTCTTGAACTTCGATATCTTTAGGGACCATTCTGTTTCCGTCGATACTGGCCTGAGACGGGACAACGTATCTGCCCAATTGTTTTGTACTCCCGGTATGTTTATGTGTTTTTTCTCAACGGAAATTGCTCCACTTCCCTTGAAAGAACTCTCCTCTTGAGGAATGTTATCCTCATCCTATCTCAAACGCTTCGTACAAACGACCAAGTGTGTTTGAGGGGGAACCCAGGGAGATGAACCGATTAGATTGTCCAAATTTGTTCACCATGACAGATGAACCTTATCTGAATAGGGAGAGAAGAAGCAATATTTTTGTTGCTGTGACGCAACTTTGACCCCAGATGAGTTAGTTGCTTCTTCCTTTACGTTCCCAACTATCTCATCGGGGTCAAAGTTGCGCAATTATTAGGCCGAATGGCACCATTGTTAATTGTTAACTTACATCCCTCACTTCGAACACTGGAACTTTCTTTACCTTGGAGCAACAGGAACGTGATAATAGGCATCTTTGAGATCCACTTTTGAGATCCAAGCATTGGGTGGAAATGATCACAAGTGAGCATCTTTTTTTTTTTTTTTTTTTTTTTTTTTAATGAACTTGTTCAGGACGGAAAGATCTAAAATCCACCTCAATTTGTCGCTGCCTTTCTTGGGGACTGGGAACAGGCGAGACATGAAACACTTCTCTGACTGCAACAGTTCTATCACACCTCTGTTTACAGTTGAATTACAAATTCTGTGAGTAAGGGTTGGTTTCTGACCCCCTTTTTGGTAACACTAGCGGAGGGTGCCTAAACCAAGTCCATGTGACGCCCCCTTTCATTGTCTTGTACGCCCGTATGGAAAAAGTCCACTTGTTTTCCCAACCCCTTAGACGACCCAGCTGTCTGGCTTCATTGGGAGGGAGTGGTTGTTGATGTGATGGAATAAGGTATCCTTCCACTTCTGAACAAATGGCCACCCTTACTACTTCTTGAATTGTTTCCTCCTCTAAAATTTCCTCTAGGTTGATAACTGAACCTAGCTTCTGGTCCTGTTCCCGTTAGACCTTCCTCTTTTAAATTTCCGAAAGGTCTGAGGACTCCTGGGAACAGTAATGTTAATAGCTTGCTCAACAGCTGATCTATACTTAACTAATGTTTGTTCATCAAACAAAGCAGGAGAAAGAGGGGAAGAACGTAGCAATAAATAAGCACTACCACTTGGAGCATTATTAGTGGCTTGCTTCCTTAGCTGAGCTTTTAGTTTTAGGGCTTTCAACAAC